TTATTTCAAAATTTAAGTTCCTATAATATAAACAATCAATAGGCAAAGTTTCACAAAAATCTCAGTACAGGTTCTATTTCAGTGGAATGACCTTAAGAGCCGTAACAACTCGCAGCTGTCCGAGTCCGCTATTTCTCTTAAGAGGTCTCTTAAAGTAAAACCAACAAATTTAAGATTTCAAATATCACCTTTCCAACAGCTGTAAAGTATTGTTAAAGTTAAAGAATGCACTTTTTTGTACAAATTTTGATTACAGTTTCGTGCACATGTTCGAGAATCGTGAAAAGTGAATTCTTGTTTCGTGATTCGTGAAACCGAAAATTTGCCATCGTGACTTCGTGACAAGACTCCCCCTTGCCCCCCTCTTTCTTCTCTTCTCTTCTTCTGTTCCATTGTTCTACGTGAGTGCCACTGCGCTAAGTCGGCCATGTTGCAAATTACCGTGTGTTGTGATTTGACGCGAGTTTGACGTGTGTAGGAACGAGTTTGCCAACTTTTTGAAGCAGTTTGCCAACGCGGGTTTGCCAACTTAAGTTTACCGTGTGAAGGCCGCTTAGTTACTTTATTAAAGACCGAGGATGACCTTTTCCGTCCCTAGTCAGCAGTGCAATAGGTAACTGACTACACTTAGCGTTTGAGTGTTTGTCTAAACTCTTTCGTCAACCATTTTAAAATTTATTTATTCGAAAGGAAGTATTGCACGGACATCTCTAATTAAAGAGTTCAGTTCATCCCATTTATCCCATTCATGATCTCATGGCTGATCTCATTCAAACGTTCAAAACGGACTAAAGTTGATCAGCGGTTTCTTTCAAAAAAGCCCGCGAAAACCTACGCGGCCGCGCAGGCTTCGTCATCTCTTCTTGATGAAACAGCTTTCATTGACACGAAAATCTCAGCACTTGTTTTTTGGAATTGCTTGTAGCCGATATACTTCCATTTTCCTTTTCAGAAAGTTAAAAACACGGCACCGTAGAATTTTGTGAGCTGGGACTTTGTTAGGAATGTATTGGTGTTTAATTGTGCACCTCTATGTGACCTGCAAGGATTGTTTTGAAACGTGAAAAGTTCTTACCATGGAACAAGAACAGTCCTACCAAGAGGCTCATGAAACTAGCCCGTATGCAATATTGTTTATCTTCATGGCGTGTACTATTGGAGGTAAGCTTCAAGTTCTTGTTTTTTTGCGTGGTAACGTTATCACTAAATTGGTTTATTGCTTCGATAGTCAAGCTGGAGCTTATCGCTTTCTTGGTATTTCTTTTTCAGCTATTGTTCGGCAATTGATGAAAGGATGGCCAATACCTTATACTGTAGTTTTAATTGTTCTCGGACTTTGTTTTGGAGCAATATCAGGCGCGGTCCCAGCACTACAAAAGTAAGTAGTTGAATTGCTGTTGTTTTACGCCACGAAACTTTGGAATGACCTACCTTTTAATATCAAACAGTCTGAGAGCATAGCGATTTTTAAAAAGAACCTCAAAACATTTCTTTTTTGTAATAGTTTATAACCTAGTCATAGATTTTAATAATTGCATCTTTTAGTTAGGTTTTTATTCTTTTTAATCATATGCAATTGTAAGCGCATTGAGAATTCTAAATGTGCAATAAGAACCTTTTATTATTATTATTATTATTATTATTATTGTTATTATCATTATCGAGAAACTTTACTGATTACAACTGTCTTAAATGAGTATTATATTAAATCACTCGCACAAATTTGGTAAAGATTTAACCTTAATTCCAGGGGCGTAATTTCATTTTTCAAATCGATCGATTTCTTCGGTGAAAATAAAAATAAAAAGGGTAGGTCACGTCATCTTCAAAGTTAGGGAATTACTTTTCTCTAAGAGGAAAGTCAGGAAATTGTATTTCAAAATTATTGCGGGTTTTGATAATGAGTGACAGTGTAAAGCTTACTACTACCAACTTAACTTTGTTAAAGAAATTATTTTTCTGCAAAATTGTCCCACGTTCATTTGAACGATTTTATTGTGGTCAGTGAGAATCCTTTCCTGGTCTGTGAAATTCAATAAAAGTCATATAATTTTTTTTTCATGGATGGTAACCTTTACTTGACTATGTTTATATTCAATTTTAAAATTGATAAAGAAATCTACTGACCTGTTTACTTGTTTTATTCTGGGATAGTCGAAGATTCTTTATTTGGCCTTTCCATAAATATCACGCAAAATCCCCCTAAATGTCTTTAGGGAAATTCTCAAAAAATCTTCTAAACATCACAAAAGATGTGAAGGTGAATTAATCAACATGACACGAGCGTGGGACAAAGAAAAATTCTGAGTCCCTTACAGGAATCGAACCCATGACCTCCCGAACACCAGGCGGGCGCTCTATCCACTGAGCTACGAGAACTCATAGAGAGTGTGGTCATTTTCAAAGTTTTCTTGAAGTTGTAGGAGTTGAGGAAGATTGAAGATTCAAGCACTTCGATGTTACCAGCATTCGCCATTTTGAAAACTTGCCGCTTTCGCGCTATGAATGTTTCCAAATACCCTTAATTTTCCAAATATCTTAAATATTTTGTTAATTAAATATCTCAGACACCTCTAAATATCCCAAAAGATATCCGGATATTCGTGGAAAGACCTATTCTTTCACTATTTTCAAGGTACACATCAATTTCAAGCCAGAACCCCCACCTCATATTGACCACCTTCTTACCAGTTCTCCTGTTTGAATCAGCTTTTGCCATGGATGTTCATATCTTTTACAAGATGTTCTGGCAGGTTGTCTTGCTTGCTGTGTTTGGTTTAGCAGTAGCTACAGCCCTCTCGGGCGTCATGGCCAAGATGGTGTTTGTTGACTACCATTGGACCTGGTTTGAGGCCTTGCTGTTTGGATCTATAGTTAGTGCTACAGATCCTGTGGCTGTAGTAGCCTTGCTGAATGACCTGGGTGAGTCTATAGGATTATGTATTAGTCAAGGGCGGTTTTCAATTGAGTGTCGTGAAACCAAACCTAAACCAATTGCTTACCAATTAGAATACTCAGCCATCTCAAACCGTAGTAAAACCAAAATCGAAGTCAGAGTAATTACCTGATTACTTTTGACACTCAATTGAAAACCCGTCTAAGACGGAAAAGTACATAGCATAAAGCCAATGAACAGAGAAAAAAAGTAAAAGTAGAGTAAATATGGTATCATAAGAGTTGTCCTGTACACCCAGAAAAATTGGGAAGCGGTTATGACCAAAATCTACGATCTACCCTACACTATTTATGACCCGACCAAGAATTCGATACCCTATTTATGGCCATTGCGGCTGGCACAGTTGCCCTAAACATAATTTATGACGGGCTTTTGGTGATGGTCTTATCGATAATGATGAAAAGGTAGCTTCTTCTTGAAAAGCATACCCATTCAATACTAGAGTGCAAAAACCATACCCTATTTGTGACCAAAATGGCCAAAATCGATCCCCTATTTTTGAGCAAAACGGCTGACAAACCACACCCTTTGGGGCTGCACATACCTATATAGCCCACATAAGAGAGTACCCACCCCGATCCAATTTACAGCTGTATAAAGTCTAATTCATGAAACTGAATTTTAACTTTGTAAATGTTAAAAGGAACAAGCAAACAGCTTTCTACTATCATCGAAGGTGAATCGTTATTAAACGATGGAATGGCGATTGTGTTGTACAAGATATTTTTTAACCTGGCATTTAAATCGATGACTGGTAAGTAACTGTAAAATCTGTTGGTCAGTCGACGTTTGCCCAAGAGTGTCAATCATTGTAAAATGATAAAACATACAGTCCATAGAAATTAAGGTAATGATATTATCATTAAATCATGTAACAAGTTAATCATCCTACCTAAACAAATGCTACTATCTAGCAAAAGATGAAATACCTCATGGTGAGAAGGAAGAGAATTTATATGTTGAATTCCAAAGCCGTCAAAAGGAGGATGTGCATACCTTGCTTTTTAGAGAGATTTTCCGCTGAAACCGAGGACTCCAGTTTGTTACCATTAAAGAAACATCATAAAATGTACTTGTTGTAATGAGACGACCTGGTTTTAAAAGTACTGTTTTTCGTTGGGACATGGTTGTGCCGTAGTTGGTCCCCAACTAGTTGCATATGTGTATGTTGTCGATGCCTCTCATCTACTCTTTTTCATTTTAGCTACAGAAATCGGACTCTATTTTCCACGTGTAGCTCTTGGCGGATTCTTTTTCGGTCTGGTCGCTGGAAGGGTTACAGTGTTTTGGCTGCAGCATGTGTTTAATGATGCCCTGGTAGAAATTACCATCACTTTAGCTAGTACCTACTTGACATTTTACATTGGAGAAGAGGTCCTAGGAATATCTGGTGTGATTGCTGTCGTTATGTTAGGAATAGAAATCAACGCGCTAAAAACAAGCATCAGTCCCGAAGTCGAGGTTTTCTTGCACAGGTAATTTAGCATAGTCTATCCATCAAAACGTATTTCATAGTTGCGTTCTTTATTTATGATTTTACTTATAATCTCTAATAAATAAATTACAATATTTAGAGAGGAAGCCACATCGGCCTAAGCTTGTCCTCTATCCTGGTCGAACTGGAATCCGGAGATGTTGGTTTTTGTGGAGGGAGGAAAGTCGGGGAACCTGGAGAAAAACCCTCGGAATAAGGCGAGAACCAACAACAAACTCAATTCATATATGACACCGGCCACGAATCAAACCCGGGCCACATTGGTGGGAGGCGAGCACTCTCACCACTGAGGCATCGCTGCTCACCAAATAAAATCATTTCTAATGATCGGCGAAGAATTGTAAAATTTAATCATTTAATTTTAGGTTCTGGGAGATGCTGGCGTACCTGGCAAACACACTTATTTTTATCATGGTTGGTGTCGTGATCATGGAAAAGGCACTTAATAGTTTGAACGAATACGATTTATTTCTCCTGGTGGTGGATTACTTTGGCATAACTGTGATAAGGTTAGCTCATCCTCTATTGGGTTTGTGCAAAACGTACTGCAGATATTTCAGAGGGCTGGTATCAAACTAATGCTATGCTTATTAAAGAGTTGTTTGTCTTCCATTTCCAGGGGCTTAGTTATGATGACATTCAGCCCCATTCTGATGCGTATCGGATACGGTCTTTCATGGCAGAGTGCTGTAGTGGCGGCCTGGGGTGGATTGCGAGGCGCTGTGGGCCTGGCTCTAGCATTGCAGGTGTATATTGATCAACCTCTGATTGGAGGAAAGGTATAGTTCTCACACATGTACTAGGCGTGGATAGCTTTCTAACTGCGGTGTTGGCGTTTTGTACGGAGTACCTAACACACGATGCAACATGATTTTGAGAGAGTGTGAACGCTTAGCATTGTGCGCAATCTTACGGAAGAAAAAAGTGCTTTCTATGACATTGCACGCATTATACGACTACGAGCCACTTTTCTACCTTTTGATTATCAAATTCTAATCAAAGCGCAACTAGTTCGTATTTTTGACTAATTTTGTTAATCTGGTGAGCAAAACCACTAAACCGCTAAAACTAAGTTTTCTTGGTTTCTCCTTCTGGCTATCGTCCCCGTTTTGTTCACTTGATTATAAACAACAGAACTTACTTGTCATTTCAGCGATATAACTTGGAAATGTTGGCCAGGTCCACTGGAATGCAACTTTTTTCCAGGTCTTGAGCTTTTTCTCTTGGTATATTTAGAGGCATTAAGACTAAAAGACTGACGCTGGGAAGTAATTAACTATATTTCAGGTTTTGGCGCACACGGCTGGCATTGTCATGTGCACTCTTCTCGTTAATGCTACAACGATGAAGAAACTGCTGGAGAAACTCGGAATGAGTGATATATCAGACGCCAAGAAAATTGCCATGGCTAATGCCGTGAGACAAATCCAAGAAAGCAATCAACGCACCCTTACAATGCTGAGGGCTGACCGCTTCCTCGCTGACGCAGACTGGGATATAGCTGAGCGGGACTGTGAGATGCATAATCCTTACATGCATGTAGAGGGGGAGGTAAGAAGTTTCCCGATAAATTTTAATTAAGAAAGATCACAGTTTATTGCCGGCTGCATTTTTGCAATGGTTATTCTTCTTGTTCTCTCAGCATGAAGAAGAGACCCCACTATTGGTTCGTCTTAGCACATGCCCAAATTGTGAAAGCAGCGTGCCCAATGAACCTTCGCCCAAAGAATTCGCCGAGATGACAAACGACGGTAGAGTACGTTTAATCAAAGCTCTTAAGGTCAGTTACTGGAAGCAGTTTGAACATGGAATGCTATCCCGCGAAGCTGTACAGGCCTTGATCAACCTAGCTGACACTGCCATGGACGAGGAAGAGGGGTACAAACAGAGCTTTTCTTTCTTTTCGAACTTGACCAAACGGCAATGACCGTAACTAACAGAAAGAAATCAAACAATTAAAACCCAAAGGAAATAAATCAATCATTCAGTAGTTAAAAGCTAATTAATTGATCCGAAGAGGTAAATAAAGCAAAAACAAAATTTAAGGTTTCCGGGACCAGGATTCGAACCTGGGTTACTGCGGCCACAACGCAGGGTCCTAACCACTAGACGATCACCGCAATTGACAGATGGTGAATGAAACTTTTAGAATTTAAAGCAAATAGTAAGAGTGTTTTCACGTGACGTCACGGCAGCCACATTGGGGTACCAAAACGATCCTGTGCTGCCGAACTCTTCTCTTATGAAAACACTTTCCAATAAATTTTGTAGCTTTTCTTTGATGATTTAGATGAGTTGTTTTTTCTTTCTTTTTCCTTTACAATTAAATCGTAGGTTTGCAGATAAATTAACTTATCAGGACTTTATTCTCTTGTATAAAATTTATTAGCTTTTTCTAATAACAGGAAATTATTAAGGTTAAGTGGACTCATGGTTTGCTGCTACTAACTTAAGTCCAAGCAAGAGACTATGATGACAGTCTCTTAGCCCAAGTTAATAAACTTGTGTCTGTTACCCCAAACGCGGTTGACAGTTTACACTCTTTACAGTTAATGTGAAGGCAAAGAATTATTTCATATGCCTTGGAATAACACTGCCTGTCCAACAAAGGAACATTTCATTCTTGTTTCTTAATTTCAACTGCATGTTATTTCTTTTTCTGTTACAGTTTCATCGAGATGAGTGACTTGCAACCCTACTGGAGAGTTCCACCTTATCTACAAAAACTTGTATGTGTCTTCTAAAACCGACAGAGCCCGATTGGTTACTTTGAATTGATTTTGCTGTTAGTGACTGAAAACCCACAAAACATAAAGCTAGCACTGAAATAAATGAAGGAATGTAAAAGAAATGTAACCAAAAAAACCTACAACAACAGCAACAACCTTTCTTTACCTCTATACTAACTAGAAAAGTAAGTAAAATGAGAAGGGATTGCGTAAAATGTTAGGCGTATCCTTGTTTGCAAGTGTACACGTGAAAACAAAGAAACAACTCTTTCAATATTATCAATTATTTTTGCTATTTTCATTCCTCTTAGAAAGATAAATTGGAACAGCTGAAGCAGACCAAACCGACAGAACGCATACCGCCACCAAATAACAAGATTCTTTCCTTCATGTACGATGTGGCTGCACACGTTGTCTTTGATGTGGTTATTAACACCTTGATCATCATCAACATGGTACCTATTGTCCTGGAGCTGGCATCAGATGACGATGCTCCGTACATGACGATCTTGAACAACATCAATTACGTATACTGTGCCATTTATGTCACTGAAGCATTGTGGAAGGTCTGTGACGTCTTTTTGTCGTTTTTGATATACTTGACTTGGATGTTTTACAGCGTAGGAGTATAGCTGCTTTCTGTTTAAGTGAGTGTCGTACGAAACGTCCGCGAGGCCAGTTAAAATGGCCAATCACAACAGACTTAAAGAACACAGTGAGCCAATGAGAATCTTAATTTTGACCGGTCAATTTTCTTTTCGCTTCTTTTATTCCTGCTGCTCATAAATTTCTCTAGGTTCCAGTCTGGTTAAAATCTGCGATGTAACTCGCTGTATGTTAAATTATGTTTCTGAAGCTCATGTCCATTAGTAACTGATTTCAAGATTTTCTCAGTTATGAGAATTTTGCATTTGTTTTGGTTCTCTGACAGGCTTTGGCATTCCGGCGGTACTACTTTAAGGACAACTGGAACCTGCTCGACTTGTTTATAGTTGCCTTGTCCATTATCGACATCGTTTTAGACCAGGCGGCCGATAACGCCACAGGGAGTTTTTCTCCATCTATTCTTAAGGTGGCCAAAGTCTTTAGAGTGCTTAGAATGGGTCGTTTGCTGAGACTTTTCAAGGTACGTGATTATGCTAAATGTTCATAATTACCTCGTTCCACTCTGACCATTTTCATCTGTTGAAATATATAATGGGATGAAAATTGACAACCGTGACGAGTGGCACATAGCAACTAGATAATTTTAACAAGCCTTCTAACCTAAGCTAACGGCAATGACAATAACAAACAGAAATTAATCAAACAAACTTTTAAAAAACAAAAGGAAATAAATCCATTATGCAGTATTTAATAGCTATTAAACTAATTGGACAAAAAAGTAAATAAAAACAAAAAGAAAATAAAAGGCTGCCGGGACCAGGATTCGAACCTGGGTTACTGCGGCCACAACGCAGGGTCCTAACCACTAGACGATCGCGGCAATTGACAGGTGATTAATGAAACTTTTAAAATTTAAAGCAAGTAGTAAGAGTGTTTTCACGTGACGTCACGGCAGCCATATTGGTGTTCCAAAACGATCCTGTGGGTGCTGAACTCTTTTCTTATGTAAACACTTTCTTTTTTTTTCCAATAAATTTTGTATAGCAGCTGACCATCTGAGCGAAAACGCGCAATAGCCAATGATTACCTGCCCGTTAAGTGAAGACCAGTTACAAAAAGAAAGCAGCCACAAAATATCGCCTCTCGATTTTTCCCATTCGGATGACAAGCCCTTTCAGTGAGAAACCACTCAAAATGAAATACACCTGGATAGGCAACACTAAAAGGGCACTCTTTACCCAAGTAATAACAGTGTTTTCATTGTACAATTATTTCTTCTTATATTGTTATAGGAGTTTAACCATAGAACTTAACCTTCGGAAAATAGTTATTAGTAATAGCTGTTATTTTCTTTCCTTTCCGCAGACTCTTCTTCCAAAACTGATAGACGTAGTGAACAACATCATCAACCGGCAGTTAAGCTTTGGCTATGATGTTGGCAAAGGTTATATCATTGCTGAAGAAGAAATCATTAAGCTGATTGATCATATGGTGGTAGACAAAAGGATCGCAAAGGATTTAAAGCAAAGATCTGAAAGAAACCGATTGGATGTTGTTAAAAGCCTGGGTAACTGTGATGGGCTTTGTTTAACTGTCGTTTTTATACTTGCCCGATTTTTGTTAAAATAGTAATACTCATTTTGTGGAACGTCACTTTTAAAGATTTACGTAATCACAAAGTTAGTTGCCTATTGTATTGAGGCACCCTCAACGAAGAACTTATAAAGGAAGGGACCTAAGCGCCTTTTACTGGGCTTGTAGAGTAGCCTGTGAATTCACGCAAACAGATTTATAAGTGTTTTGGAGCGACGTGAAACAACCACCTTGCAATGGTCCGTTATAGCGTCCGTAGGCTTCCAGTAGCCCATAAGGAGGGCGGATTTCAAGGGACATAAATTACTGCATTCTCATTTCACGTGTTCTAAGTGGTACACACACTAATTCTATTTCTTACGACCGCCTCTCAATTGGTACTTTGAAATAATATTGTCGTGGTTTCTTCTAAGCTCCACTTTGGATATCATAGTTACATGCAAACACGCGCCTTAGCTTACGTTTTGTTTTTTTACAGGTATGCTGCAACGTGAACACCCAGGCATTGCAATCTCCGTTAAAACCCGGCAGGCAATTCGCACCATTCTGAACAACGCTCGTGACGTCATTCACGAACTCAAGGGTGGTGGATTGTTAGATGAAGCTGAGGCAGGAAAACTTGAATCGGTAAAACATGGCTCGCCTTGCTTATATAACACGGAGATCTCGTGACCTTTGTAGTCCTACAAAGAGACTTTATACCTCATGCCCATGCAATAGCCATCTGTTTTAGTTGGCAGTTGATATTTTTTCAGGACACAAATAAGCTGTTTTAGGGCTCGTGTTTACTCCTTACCTACGTTTTGACTCTTTTCGATACTTAGCCAAGTGTGTATTCCAATAAAAAGTAAGTTACGAATGAGATATTCACAGCGTACTTCTCGAAAGAATTGTAAACTAACTTTTGTATTTAAAACACAGATTGTTGAAGTAAAAATGAAGCGGCAGCTTAGTGCTCCAGCCTCCATTCCGCCTCAAAAGCCCATGGAGTTGCTCCGTAATGTCGTGTGGTTAGAGGGAATGCCACCAGAGGCGGTCGACCTCGTAACTTCTGCTGCTCGTATCAAGAGGTTTGATGCTGGGGATACTATAACAAGACAGGGTGAAGAATTGACGGGAATATACTTGATTGTTTCAGGAATGGTTAAGGTATCTAGCATCAAACACTTGTCAGGAACTTCAGCAATGGCTAATGGTTGAGCGTGTAATATAACTCTACGTTATTTGAGTTGCATAACCAGTTATCATAGAATGAAAATGTCATCTTCTCTTAGATTACTATAAGAACCTCTCCCCACCCAGAAATAAAATAGGCGCTGGTAAATTGTTAGCCGACTGGTCTGAAAAAATAAAAGCTGAGGGTACCTACGACCGACATCACGGCATGTGGTGGCCAAACCATACAATCCTACATAGCAGGAGTAGCTTTACTCCAAGTATAATTCAAGTAAAATTCAACACCATTGACAAGGTGTCTATTTGGGACTAATGGATGAATGCTAGGTCGTTGACCTTAATTTATTATGTAACAGGCGTAGTCGCTCCAGGAAACCATTGAGACACTACATGTACAGGTTAATTTGACTCTGTAAACAGAGTCTTCTGTTGTCCATAAAATTTCCAACTTAGAATTTATAATGACAGGTCTGTGTTGATATCAGCAAATTAAAAGCAAAAATTTTTTATTACCTAATATATTAATTTTTATACCTTTATCTTTCCAGTGATTGCGTAATCACTTGTAGTACTTTCACTCCCAGATACTGACATTAAAAATAATGGAACAAAAATAAACCTAAACCCACAAAACGCGCTGCAAACCTATTTTTTTCAGACGGCTACAGCTTTTTTTGTTGTTGTTGCAGATGATCGGTGTATCAGTGGCAAAGAAAAGTTACATGGACGGTGAGGAACCCGAAGTAGGAGAGATGATAGTCACTACTGATTACATTTCTGCCGGCAACCTGATTGGTGAGATGGGCCTTCTCACTTCGGCTAGAAGAAACTCCTCCTGCACCTGCGAGTCCGCAGTCCAGGTATTAATTTTCCCTGATAACACCAATGTTTTACTTTTCAAACCTGATTTTATCAGTTAGGTTAGAACCGAACGGTAAAAGTGTAACTGAAAAGGAAGCGTTTAAGCGCTTGATAATACGAAACTACTCTTGAACTGCAACTGCCCAATAGGTATCCCGAGTCCTGTATAATCCTGCTGTTCATTTGGCCGTCAAGCTTCGAGAGTGAAAATACAGTGATTAGCCTATATCACTTTGTGGTAGTTAACGTAATGGTTCTTCATTTATATGGTACATTCATGCCTTGAGGATTCTTGAAACGATGTTAGTAATTTTGGTGTATTTTGGGAGGTCTTAGAAGTTGACTTTAGCTTTGAAAACTCAACTTGTTGTTGGATTTCCCGTTAAGGCCTATTATATCACAGCAGAAGATATGAACAAAGCCATGAGACGCTACCCAGATCTCGTAGACCGTCTATGGAGAGTTTGTGGTGTCAGAATTGCCGTGCCACTTCTCCTGGATGTACCCAATTACTACAACTGGACCAAGGACAAGATCAGTATCATGTGCGAACGATCGTTCATTGCCACTCTTCCCAAGGGCCCCAATGCTATCTTCAAAGCTAATGAACAAATGAAAGAGGTATATGACATCTTAATCACGAAATACAGTTTAGAGTTTACGACAGTAGCCCACATAGTGTATTTATTACTGATAAGTAGGTGCAACAGATATACGTGAACTAATATAAAGGCCAGGGATACTTTAGAACATGCTGTGATCAGAGTTAATGAACCTTTGATGAAAGCAGTATATTAGAGCTTAGACTGGTTGTTTTCAATTGACAGCGGACAGACATATAGGCTCATTTTGCCTTCCTCCATGATGAGTTAAAAACTGCTTTAACCAATCGCAGCGAAGTGTATGGTCACTAATCATCCTTTCCGATCTTTTTGCTTAAAGATTATCCTTATCCAAGGTAAGGTTACGGATCTCGAAAGCAGAGAAATCTACGATGGACCGTGCGTACTGCCGAGGACTTACCGAGCATTTAAATTGCATTACGATGTTGACGAGCCCAAAATTTTAGTGATTGTTCGTTCGCATGAAAGTGCGATGCCTGATGACCCAGAGGACAATCCATCAGCGTTGGACCTTGTAGGTGAGATATGCGAAGTAGCCATTGAGATGAAGGGTAGCAGCAAGTTGTAAAAATGCGGTTAAGTTTTCGTCCGATCAAGAACCGACATTGCCATTGCGAGTCTCGAGATATGCGTGCACCAACAATTACCGTGTAGTTCTAAAACCGTGAGGTAAACAAGTGGATGAAAAACTAAATTTACAAAAAAAGCTTTCACCCAGGATGATAATGGACCATGAAATATAGACGATCCTAGTATTCCAGCAGTATTGTTAGCTCTCTATCGTACTGAAAGAACTCTATTTACAGCCGCACTCACACACGTAAAAGCATAAAATGACCAATATCTTTAGTAAAAGAAAGCTGCCCGCCAGAAAAGCATCTTTATTAAGGTTAGATCGTCAATTTTTCTCATTTTTAACTTCTGCCACACGTTCTCTTGTCATACAGGAATTCAATCAGGACCGTGGAGACGCGATAGTCACTCTTCGTTCTCGACTCGAGCTATGTCATTCGAAAAGTTCGCGGGAGGTACAGAAGCAGTGTTCAGAGGCAAGCGAAGAGTCACTCTGGGTGGCCGATCCATTACGAGTACTGACGAAGGTTACCGAAGGCTTGATCCCCTACCTGACAGATTGCAAGGTAGAAAGATAGTAGTATCACCGATTGCTGACGATGATAAAGGTAAGAGTGCTGACGAGAATTTTTCATTTTGGGTCTTCTTTTTCGTCAGGAAGTCGTGTAATCTGTACTGTTAGTTTATTGCAAGTTATATCCTCCATTTGTTTGCTAGGTTTCTTTTAAAAGACACTTTCCAGTGTTCAGTTTATTCAACAGGGGCCCGATTCTCGAAAGCCCGGGAAACTTTTCGGGCCTGAAGAACCATTCTTAGCTAATCGGTATTGAAGGGGCAGTCTCACCAAGATTTAGTCCTACTTGAAAATCCAATTAAGGTGTTGGTATTAATTGGAAATCCACTAGAAGTTGCCTAACCTTGCTAAAATGCTCCGTTCTAGTCACGAAAGTTGTTTACAACTGTTGTGGCTACGGACGAGTAAGAAAGAAGTGGTCTAAAACTTAAAAACCTCGGCCCGACGTTTTCAAGTTTGACAATGTTACTTGGTGGAAAATCACTAAAAATCATTGATCTATTAGGGATTGAATTTATGCCTTTTTTTGTCGTGTTATTATTCTGTTGATCAGTGAGTGCACGTTTACAATTCTAGGATAGTTTGCACAAAACTTAGAAGACCTCTCGTGATACTGCCCCCAGAGAGGTGCATACGCCTGAATCTTCTTGTACGGAATGGAACCTCTGTTTATGTCAGAATATGTCAATAAAACAGCTCTGTAATCATAAGGTTTGAGATTTTGCTACGGCTTTCCGCGTGCGAAAACTTTTCGGGACCTTCGGGAAACGGGCCCCAGGGCCGACTCGTTCAAAGCCCGGTCAAGCTGACCCAGGGATTAGCGAGAATTGTGCTTTGAGTTTTGTAACTTTTCGGTGAGGTTTTCTGTTTATATTGCTTGTCCTTCAGGTTTGAGTTTGAATACTTTCAGACTACACAAAAAATAAGCAGTGAAAAACATTTTTCGGCAAGAAAAACTAATACTTCGGTTAACTGTTAATCCTGGGTTAGCATTAGCCGCCTTTCCAACAAGCCGGCCCAGATGTATACAATAGATCAATTTTGCGAACTAGAGCTCTCAATCGAATTGTGTTGGAAATAAAAAAACAAAGTGAGGCAGTCTTCTAGACAGAAGGCAGGTCTTTGAGTTAATCTCAAACGGACTAAGCAGGAGGCGCAGTGGCCTCATGATTAGTGCGCTTATCTCCGGATCGAACGGTCCGGGTTCGAGCCCTGCCCCGGGCTAGTGTGCTGTGTTCTTGGGCAAGACACTTAACTCTCACAGTGCGTCTCTCCACCCAATTGTATAAATGGGTACTAGCATCCCACCGAGGTGGGAGTCGAAATACTCCTAGTCGCTTCACGCTACAGAAACAGGGACAAGATCAGGCCTGATGATCTAATTGGCTCGTATGCAGACTTGACCTACCGCTACCAAAGCGACTAAAATTCTACAAACTGTGTAATTCTCTTCTTTTCAGGAAGTTAACTCAATTCAAGCCTGGACCGGTTTACCTTGCATGGAGTCATCAGTGTACAGTGAACTTATTGCTCGAAGATTTCTTGCAATAAGATGCAGATATTTCATTTGTGAACGTTTGATTCACTTTTCTTTTATTTCGCCGTCATCTTTACTATGCTGTTTTTCTGTATCTTATTTACCAACCATGCTGATAAGTGATTCACTAGGCAAAAACGCTACGGCTGTTTACTTGAAAGGAATAAAATTGCATCATTGTCTTTTTCCGATAACCGTATCACACTCTTTTACAGGATTATTTTTGTAATGTTAGTAAGCAAAATCGTGAGCACCATAGTATTGTAGTTACTATTGACAAACATGTTGAAAAAACAAAACAAAACAAAAAAACGAGAAAAAAAGGAAAAAAAAAACAAAAAAACAAAAAAAAAACACCGCGCCAAAATTTGCCGTGACCAGGATTCGAACCTGGGTTACTGCGGCCACAACGCAGTGTCCTAATCACTAGACGATCGAGGCTTAACGAACGAAGGAGGTCAAATATATATTACAATACCGACAGTCGCATTCGCAGTTTACCATGCATGTTTGTTCAACCATGTCAACTGTGTTTTTGGTCTACGCTTCCAACGACGAAACAAAAATTTATCTTCCGTTTACCAAGCTTCCCATGTTTTTTTTACAGTAGTAGAGCACTGTTCACAGCTAAAGATTGCACTGAGAGAAGGAGATGAACAGAACATTTAAAATTACTAGGAGGGGCAAATGGAGAAAAACAGACCCAGAAACAACTGAACTGAAGAAAGCCAGAGGCAGAAAAAAAATTCTGATTTCTGAGTCAAATGTAATAACCAAAGATATCCGGTTTTACACCTCTGGGTGTAAAATTATGAGAAAAAAAAAAAANGAGATAAATTATACATGCTATAAACAACAATAACAACATAAACAAACCACCGCTTCACAACATCAATATAAGGGACGAAACATTATTTTTTGACGGAGGGGGTAAGGGCTGGGCAGTTTCAAAAAAAAAAAAAAAAAAAAACCATAGTATTGTTTTGGTCGTTGTTTGTACGTCTCACAAGGTCGCTGTATATAGCTAATAAGTGCACGCTTGAAGGTTGCTTTTTCTGACTGCCTCACGGAAGCAATGGATTTACTTAAAAGGGCTTCAAATCAATATTACGCAAACAGGTTTCAATGGAAATAATTTCAAACTTTTCTCCTCAACACCTTTTGTACTGGTAATACAATGCTTCTGTTCAATTATTCAGCGGCTTGCCGGTGCTGTACTCGAATCGAAGGTGTATCTCAAAATGAAGTGCCACGGATTTCAAACGAGTCAGTGTGATCAGCCATTGTAACTTTTAATTAGTTTTTTCGCTTCTCCACGAATGACAGCAAAAAATGATCGAGCGAAATCTCAGAACAACAGATTTGATTTCTGTTTTAATACTGTATGTGTACGTAGCAGACAGCTTCAAAATAACAGCCACGAAAGGTAAGATATGCCATCATATTTTTAACTTGCTTTGACGCCAAGTGATCGTAATCTTCAATCACTTAATTCGCTAATCACATATGATATAGAGGAGTTAAATTTAAAAAGAGCTCGTGAACTTAAGCGTAGGGTGATCATAATCTATTCCCTAAGACGGCATTTCATTCCCATAGAAAATGTGAAAGATAAAGTTTGGACAAGAAGCCGCGAGGGTACAACGTATTTGAATGGCGCATACGATTTCTTGAATGTATCACATTTTATACGTGTCTAATTATTTCTCCTTAAACCTTATGACACGGAGAAAAGCCCCATTTGGTGGCAGAATACTTGCTGTGTATACTTTGTTAGAAATGATAAGCTAAACAATAATATTTCCACCAAATATTCGAGAGGCGTTTAAGTGCCGTTGTCCCGGCTCAGTTCAAAATGTCGTTTAGGCGTGTCCAGTTGTTCCCCCTTAATTAATGACGACAAAATATTTCTAGATGACCATCATCAGCGATCTATCAGCGAATCTCAAGTACTTTGAACACATCTGCAAAAAGATCTGTGTTTTCTGGGTTTTCTATTTATCTTTTCATCTTTTCTTTTCCTGATTTTGCGTGATTGTTTCACAGATACTGGTACCAGTAAGACAAAAAGGATTTTGTTGACCCATATATTCGAACCAAATCCTGCCACCAGAAGGTTTATTGTTATAGGACTACAAGACTGGGACTGATAAATTGAATTAGAAAAAAGAGCAAGATCCCAAATCTTGCAAAATCTGATCAAAACCTAGCAAATGTCGTTAAATCTATACCATAACAGTAACTGTGCAGTCTGCATTTTCTGTTTGCAAGTAACTTTCATTTTTGTAGATGCATTAACAAATAGAGCGAATAATGAAGGAAGGAGACTTGAAGTAACAGGCGCAGAGATAGACAGACTAAAAAAAGGTAATTAACTAACAACAACACATAAGCGCAACTGGCAAATCGAGGTCTGTAGCGTTACTAGTGTTAAAATAAAGCAATGTATAAAGCCAATGTCTCAGCCGGCTAGTCACAGACACACTGACACAGCGTGATACAAAATATAACATAGCCATTTATTAAGACGGATATAACCGACTGAGCAAAACAGTTTTAACTAACTACTCTAACTGTCACTACACAACAGCAGTACAAAGAAAACATTCGAAGGCGGAGTTATGCTTTGTTTCCTTTGCAGCACTTTTGGAAATTGACGATGGCGTACACCCTGTTATCAAAGCTATGAACAATCATGATCAAGAACAAACCATGGAAACTTTAAAGAAAGGTAAATGTTTGTGAAAAGTGAATTGCTGCTATGTAAGTTACTTACTTTTCGCCTAGCGTTCACTTTATAATTGATATTCAAACAGCTCTACGTTCTGTTGAAGACGAAGAACAAGAGGACCGACAAATAAGAGACATTGAATCAGGTCAGAATTTTCCCGATACAATTAGTGCTAGACAGTTCAAGGTCACATTGGATTTTGCTATTTTATCTCTGTCAGGTTTTGTACGTCTTCTTTGTATAAAAATTATTTGTTTTAATCCTTTATTCCTTGCAACTTGACTGAATCCCAGACTGGGGTGGTGAGGGACGGAGATGGGGTGTGTGTGTGGGAGGGAGGAGGGGAATAGAAGTTTCTGAACTCTCTTCTTCCTGTACCTTTACTCCCAGCTCTCTTCCCTTCTGAGCGGCTCTAACATAATCGTGCCCTTCCTTTACAAAATATTACACCCTGTAGCGAAATTTTCCTTTTTTCTCCCAGTTTCCGCTACCTTGTTGCATCCCGTTTTCCGCCCTCTCTTTTCCCGCCTTCTGTTTAGTCCCCGCCCCCTTGCTTCCGGGATCCCACTTCCTGCTCCTCCCACATACAGACGCTCAGATGTAATCTACACTAACATGTCATAAATTATATGATTTATTTCTTTGAATAACCATTTAACGGCGTAGTGTTGCTTGATATCAACAGCTTTGCGGTCAATTGAAAGAGAGACGGCTTACCATGGTCAGTGAGTAATGTGACAGACACGAGTTCGTAACTAGTGCGTTCTATAGGCGCACCTCGACATTAGGATAAATCCAGAAATTTACGCGGGATTTTTATCCCCTCCCCCTCTCACCCCAATGGAATGCTCAGAATCATATACGAGTTTTGAACCTTCGAGGGCATTGGGCGTTTTTTTGTGATGGATTCAAGTCTCCATTACATTGGCTAAATATGATTATATCTTCAAAATCAATACTTGTTGTTCTGTTGGTATTTAAACCAGATTTAAGAGTCGTGGGGCCCGTTTCTCGAAGGTCCCGAAAAGCCGTAGCAAAATCTCAAACCTTATGACTTCAGAACTGTTTTAGGCACATATTCTTAATATGAACAGAGTTCCCCTTCATACAAGAAGTTTCAGGCGTATACACCTCTTTGTCATTAAAGACCGATCAACTAAAAATGGCTTTGTGGGCCCGAAAAGTTTCCGAGGCTTTCGAGAAACGGGCCCCTGGACTTTGAAAAATGTTTCTAACCCTTCACTGTCGAGAACATCACAGCTCAAAACTGGTAAAAAAAGTTTCACTTTCGAGAATATTGAATCATAGCCTGCAGTACACGCGGATTAGCGGGTTCTAGTGCGATACACGAGCGCGCGTGAAGCGCGAAGCGAGAAAAATCCGCCTGTAGTCACACCATTGTTTATGCTCTTCCAACCGTTCCCCTGGCGAACGGTTTTTGTTGATTGGTTGCTTTAAGCCACGTGACGTCAGACGCGAGAAAAAAGACAAAATGTGTTTAACTCGGGTGACAGGCCTACACGGACTCCTACGGCTCGTGACATTTCTACATTTGCCGATCTCTTATAAATTCCAGCCTCTCAACCTTTTATTTTGCTGTTCACTTGTTTTTGAAGGGCACTTAATGTTGTATTATCAGGATGATTTTTTTAAAAGTAGAGTAGAGCCGTTGTACTGTTAAGTAGAGGTCAGAGCTCTGCATAGTTTCAGCTGTTATCTACCGCTTTATAGAGTTTGACACCTCTGTAATTTGCCATGTGCCGAGTAGTGTGGTTTGTCTTACTTCATTTCTATTGCAGAAATGTATGTTTATTGCAGAAATGTATCTCTTTAATTATTCGCTCTGGAGGGACAAAGTCGGTGAGCATCAATGTTGATTACTTGCATTCTATATTGTGATGCCGTGCCCGGTTGTTAGATTAAAACTGTGTTCAGCTATATGGCTTTTCACCACGGATCATAGTTAGCTTTGTCCGGCGTCGCCAGAGACTGCTGTAGTCTTGGAGATCCGTTCTGTGTCGTCAAAGTTATGTTTCTTCCATCCTGAATTTGTTCGAGCTTTTCGTCTCCTGAGCTCGATGTTAAGGTTTATACCTCCTTTGTTCGTTTCGGCACAACACGATTTAAATTTAGCTAAATTTAGATGTTCACGTCTGTTGACTGTTTTGCGTCATTTATACATTTGTAAATTGGTTATTTGAGACATTTTTTCGCGGCAGTAAATTGAATTGCTTTGTTCTCTGTCATTCTTTCATGCCAATCATTTCTTTTTCTCTCCTCGCGCTTCGCGCGCGCTCGTGTATCGCACTAGAGCCCGCTAATCCGCCTGTACTGCAGGCTAATTGACAATAATTGAATCATGGAACGAACATTCTACTAGGGTTTTGTCCTCAGAATGCAACGTTAGACCCACATTAATTGATGAGCGGCTTTGAGTGTGACTCTAGGAGTATCCTATCGAGCTTTCTAACTGCGACACGTGGTAGAAACAGGAAACCTCGATTGGTTCATCGCCTGACTCATAATAGCTACGAAATACTGACAATTTTCTGACATCTTTGCGTCTTTTGCTTAGACACTTTTCATGATGTGAAGTGAGGCTCGTCAAATTATTTTTGTATTCTTTTTAATCCATTTGTTTTGGACATAAATCCATGATACTATTTTATTTTAAACTAAAACAAGGCAGCATTTCATACAAATTTTTACGCCCAAACAGTCGCCGATACAAATTGAGTCGTTCATTTCATTTGCAGAGAGCAGAAAACGTACAAAGATAGAAAAAGGTAAGTTACACTAAAGTTGGACAAATATTGGTCACTAGTCAGATTATTCTCCTACGTACACCAATTTTCAGTCTTGTCAAGTTTACTAGGCTTTAGTCGTTCCCTATGAGAAAATCATATGGACTCGAAGATGACGTGAAAAATAAACGAGTTACTCCTGCGTCCGCGATCCGTTGAAATTGTCTTGTTAGAGAGTTTTAATAGCAAGACTGGGTTGAAATACAATTGTAAAAATAGCTTTATATTTTTCAGTTTTGGCTTCAGTTGAGGCGCACACCAAGCAAGGTAAGGTGTTCCGGTGTATATATTAGTTCTAGTAATTATTTTGAGGTTACATGCAGTAAGTAAAGTAAGTAATTTATTCAATGTCAATAACACGGGGAGTTCTTGCGCAATCTCCCCAAGAGCTCATGCTAAAAGTGCTTGATCATAACAATACAATGCTAGAAAAATCTACGAATCGAGTTAGGAGTGAGCTAAATTAAAAAAAATTAATAATTCAGTTAAAAACAATAAGATAAAAGAAGTATTTGCCATACATTTGTTACATTGACGACCAATCAAAGCTAACTTGGAAATGTGCTGTATGAAGATTCACACTGAGGTTGCGGACTTTGCAGATAGTGGCAATTGATTCCAGATATGAGAGGTGACGTAAGAAAATTAATTACGCAGAACCTGACTATTATCAAAATGTCTTGCTTGTGTAATGATAACGAAACCGCTTTTTTCCTTTAATACTTTTACTAACACAGTTATTTCTGTGGCAAGCGACCGAACCAGCTAAAATTACCTTTAATCCATTGAATTGGTAGACTGTAATATTAATATCTCCATTAAAAGGCCAAAGGAACGGACGGACGAAATTGCCATACACCGATTGCGTTTTTACTTATAAACTTGATGCATCTTTTTGTAGCCATGTCGACCCCAACTTTCACCTCCAATGATGAAATCACAAAGAAAGGAAGATATGGTTTGGAGGTGACTTTACCGTTCAATAATGCCGTAAAAGGACAGGAAGGAAAGACAATCAACCTCAAGACCAACAGTGGAAGGAAAAGAGTTTTTATTCCTAAAGGATGGATGTTTTGCACCATATCCCCTCCAAAATGTTATTCCACGAATAGAAAGAAAAGTGAGTAAACATTTGACTTGACTGACTTAGTGTCTATAGCGAAAGATGTTCAAAGACTTACTTTAAAACAATCACCTTTTTGAATCCAAAATGGAGGCTGATTGAACTAAATGTTAGCTCTAACTTGACAATTAACTAACTTAACTGATGGTGAAAGAGCAGAGCAAATTCCTTGAGGGCAAACGTAACGTTCCTAAATCAACCTCGAGATTTTCGAAGGTGACCTAAAGACGGCATCCAAAGATGAAAAGGTGAACTTGACACGCGCATTTTGTTTCTCAGTGACATTTGCAACGCAACAATTACCAAATTACGGCTGAAAAACATAAAAAATTGCGGCGGAAGTCGGGTGGGGGGATGTTACACGCAGTAGCATGACTGAACGTTACTGCAAGAAGCTAAAACTGAGAATAATTCCATTTTTCTTGCAACTTGCAACACAGACCCAGTTAGTTAATATAGAAATTTATTGATATGCATTTCCATAATTGTGTCCATTTTTTAATTTCTACCTCAAAATGATTTTGTTTGTTATTTGCAGGACACATCAATAAGAGACACGTTTCCTTAGTTTCTCGGAGACCAGCAATCTAGTCGTGAAAATGGAAATACGTCGATCAGGGGAGTTTACCTAAGAAGAATAACGGGGATTTGGGAGGGGATGGTAGGCAGGAGCTCATACAGTCCATTATAACATTAGCGTCACATCCCCTCAAGACATAACATTCCAGTGATCCTCTGATCATCCATTATGTTTCAAGACTTATGGATCCCGATGAACATTTCTTCGAGTCCAAATCCCGAGGACGAGCAGCTGCAATGTGAGCCAAGATGAATAACATAATTTGAATTAATAAGACGTATATATACATTATACCTTAACTCAGCTAGGACGTCAGTTTCAACTAGTAATATGAAACAGAATTTAACGTCTTGGGAAAGAGATGTGAAACGATCAAATTAATTTACCAATGCAAATTGATCTAGTTTTAGATTGCTGGATTTTTATAGACTTTGAACGTCGATCAAACAACGGTAAACCAGCCTTAACCATAATACCTTACCGCATTGACGCGTTCTACAAGGCAACTTTCATTGAAGCGGCTATGTATCGTTGATACCCTAGCTAAAACCTCGTACCCAGGTTATCCTTGGATTGGAAGAAGAGAGACTCGATCGCATTGTTCTCGATACGTTTTACAATTTTCGTTATGAGATCTGAAGTAAAAATTACATGGGTTTGGGTACCTCAGAAAGAATCAGGAAATATACATTGCTACAGTTACTAACATTAAAATCATTAGTCGACTTTGTAGAGCCTCGCACGAATATACTAGTTATTCTACAGTCATGACGTGCGACCTATGCAGTTTCGCATCCTTCTCATGGCCTTACTATGTCTAAAAATCCAGATGCGAAATATCCATTAAGCTCCGTGGACCTGGAACATTCCATTGTTTACGGTTCCCGCACCAGAAACGGCGAATTATCTCAAACTATATCTTGCCTTGTGTTTCTGTCTATGCCGTAAACATGACCTTGCCTTTTTTAATTCAATACATTAACACATAGTGCGGTTTTCATTTGAGTGTCGAAAGTAATCAGGCAATTACTTTGGCTTTAGTTTTGGTTTTACTGACCCTTTGAGATTGGCTGAGTAGTCTTTTTGGTAAGTAATTGGTTTTGGTTTTGGTTTTACGACACTCAGTTACTCAACAGTTCCAGTTAAATTAAAACAAGTCAAACATTCAATATCCCGAGGCACAAAGTAGTTCAGAGAAGCAGGTAGATATAAAGGTAGATAAGAAGCCCTTTGTAAAGTAAACTAACATGTAAAATACCGTTCTACCGGTAGCCATCTCTTGTATATATGTGTATGTATAAATCAAATAAAGTAACACCAAACTGACACACCTTAGCTCGTACCTTGGAAAATTTGACTCCGTTTAGTGCTGCTGGCATCCGTTGGTACCAAATGGTTAGTACGCTGGACTCCAGATCGAGTGGTCCAGTTTCAAGTCCTGGCCCGCTGGGGTGACTGTGCTGTGGTCTTGAGCACACATAAGAAGTTAAGAGACTGAGGAGAAAAGAAGCTTAAAATATGCAAATGGTCCTTTTTGAGGAAGCCATATGGCTTGAGTCTGAGAAGGGAGGAGATTGGAGAGGGGGGGGGGGGGAATTCGAGCTAAATGGTTTTTCTCAATATTTTACGAAATTCTAACCACCGGGAGAACTTCCGTGGAGTATCATATACGACCACTTTACATTGAGTGAAAGTGATTGTAATTTGAATGATAAGTTTCTTTGTCTCTTAGCCAATCAAAACAGTCTCCTGCATAGTGTCACGTTACTTTAAAATGCATATTTCTTTTAGCCAATCACAGCTGAGAATTGGTAATGTGTACAATTTAAGATAAAATAAGCTTTCTGAAGCTGTTATCTCTCGGAAGGGTTTCCAACTATTTAGTTCAGCTGCAGTATTAACGCATTCAGTTACTTTAGAAATTCTATCGCACACGGCTTGTATACACTTCACATGTACTTCCAAACGTTTCAATGAACTCAAAAGGACTTTCTCGAACCGCATTTCATTTTAATTGGAATCATTCTCTGATTAATAAGTCGGGTTGTGTTTAATATTTCATGCAATATTTTTGTTACCTTTTTCTACTTTATAACTCAGTTTTATAAAGATTGCAACACTGCCAAACGTCCTGTACCTGTTTGACTTTCCATTTTTATCCTGAAGTTCAATGCAAGTAAAAAGGATCCAAGCCAAGTATAACAAGCCAAGTACAACAAGTTTTTATTTTGACAAGAAAAAAACAGATGTCTCTAGAATTAAAAAGATGGTCTGCCTTACTCGCGGCCATCAAAACCACAAAAATGCCATGAAAAACCAAAATCCCGTAGAGATAAAAAAAAATTATAATCTGTATTAGTTTTTCCAAAGCTGTATAACATTTCAAACTCTCAAGACCTCGTCCTCAAGGGCTGTTTCAGGCTGGTTATTTGCCTCTAGTTCAAGAACACGATGGTAGGTAAAACAGACATTTATACAACGACATTGTTGGCCATTGTGATAACAGTGACCGTTAACAAATTCTCGCATGCAAATGTTGGCTTTAGACATTTTACACAAAAGAATGAACGAAATTTTGAACCTACTGATCATTCATTGCAAGTACGGCCTCTAACAAACACAAGATGTAGATGAATTAACTATTTTACACTATAAATACCAACACTACACATAAATTCAACATTCTCTGAAACTTGCTCTGAATTTACGAAATATAGTATAAGCTTTTTTTCCTGCTGAGGGGAAGAGATATTTTAAATAACACATTGTTATTAATAATTTACACATTTTTACTTTTTAGAAAATATTTGAGTATATTGTTCGATTGCATTTGTCTCTCAAAATAACCAAAGAAAGCTAGTGTAAACAGCTCCTCTGTACCCCTAGAAGTTGTAAAAACGTTACGTCAAAGTGTGAGACCGGAAAGGCGAAGAGTTTTCTGGTGATTGTATACGATCAGATACGAATGCTAATATAAGTAATGAGAAAAAATAAATGCTGGATTTTATACTACACGGATACGGCAGAAAAACGTGTCTTCATTTAGGCGAGAGCCGGTTTAAGCACAGCCTTTTTAATATGCAATGTAGCAAGACATTTTGTAAACTCTCGCTGTAATCCTGTCCGCATCTTACCGGCAAATTGTTGAGCCCAGTATATTAATATCGCATCAGGGTGGGGGGGAGGGGAAGAAATATTCATACTCACTTAAAGCTAGTAAAAAGCAGTTTTCACTGCAATCATCCATCTCAGGGTTTTGAAATTAGTTTATTTCGATGAAGTTTAGTTCAGATCTCATATTCTGCTTCCGGTTGTTCTCTTTTGATAATATTGAAATATACCTTCTTTGAAATGTACCTTTTCTCTAAATCTTGTTTTAACTCGATCCTATCTTTACATGAAGCAATATTTTGTATCCTATTTTGTTTCCTCAGGATAAGCTAACCCAAGAGCAAATTGAAGGTGGGTGAAAAAAGGAAGTCGCACGATTGTCTCCTTTAATAAACATATTTTGGAAGTTAAACACCAGTTAGGGGACTTGACGATCTATACGGACACATAACTTGCAAAAAATTTGGGAAGTTTATTTTGGACGTTCAATTTTCGGATAGACACTTTTTATCGCATTTCGGACAAATTTCGCACAGAAATTTACATCACCGCACATCTAAAGTAAATTAACGCCAACAAAACGCGAATTACACTGAAACAATATCTGTGGAAATGATAGTTTCAGCCCTCAAGGTTTTACAGATACACCGACGACAAAATAACACAAATTCGTACATATCTCAACCAGTGTCTCAGACAACAAGAGTTCGCTCCACAAAGGAAACGTAAAAAAGGCCTCATAATGTACTGTAAACATTTTGGACGCTTAAAATTTCGAACGCTTAAAAATTTCGGACGGTTTTATATCGGACAATTTTTTTTTTCTGAAATTAAAATCGTCCGAAATGTATTGCAAGTGATGGACATGATTGTCGTCAATTTGTGCGAACCGAATGTGGTTAAATTACACAATGTCATATCATTCAACTTTATGGCTCCCTTCTGCTGAATTAATCTTAGAATACAGGGATGCATTTCAACACTTTGACAAGGACAGCAGTGGTTTCATCACCACAAAAGAACTTGGAAATGCCATGCGCTCCCTGGGCGAGAACCCACGTGAGGAAGACTTGCAAATGATGATTAACAGTGTGGACATTGACGGTGAGTAAACAAACAAATAAACAAACAAACAAAGAAATAACGATTCTAAACTTGATTCAAATTCTACAAAGTATAACAATGGGTTTAACTTCTATCGTGCGTCGTCATCGCATACGCTTGGTCACCTGGCATATATGCACCAATCAGAATCTGTCAATCAGTACCTTATTGCATCAATGTAAACTTGCTTCTCATGTCAGTCAGCCCGGGCGATGACTCCCATATAAACAGGACGGTGTTGCTTGTCGTACCTTGGGTTACAAAAGCAGTTTTATTACCTCTTCGGGTGATCTGCCTCAAAAGGTCCACAGCAGGAGCTTTTGCAGTACCTTTTAGGGTATTGAGCCGAAAAAATATGACAGGAGATAATGCGTTGTTTTAGAATTGTTTCCTTTAATGGATGAAAAAATATCAAGCCACGTCCACAAAACAGGATCTTGGTACCTCTTAGGGTTTCTTTTCAAAATTTCTGATGAGCACCCCCGTCGTGTTATATGGGAGTCCCCACCCCTTTCCCGAGTCAGTTATATGCATTAGTTACTCGTGGAATATCTCTTAGAAAAATTCTGTCAATAGCAGATTTGCTCAGTATGCAACGCTTGGGCAAGTTCACTTGTTTACCAAACACATCTGAAAATTTGGTATGATTTGATGATTTTTTATTTTATTTTATTTTATTTTATTATTTTTATTATGCATTGTTACACACACTGGTTACAATACTTATACAGCTACGTTATTTAAAAGACTAATAGATATACTTACATTATTTATAATACTTCGTATGTAATTTACAATGCAGTACATACATTACTTACAATACAATACGATCACTCACGCTACTAAAAATACAAATGCTTACACTACTTACAATGCAACACGATAACTCAAGTTGCTTAACAATACTAATTAACATTACTTACACTACGATTAATGATTTGATGATGTTTTTTCCTCATCTCCTATTTCAAATATACTAGGGCTTTTAAACGAAATTGATAAAGATATCAAAAAGGTAGCTTCAACAATAAACCTCTTACAACTCTATCTTATTTCATATCATTTTTAGAATTCCTTGGTACGCTGATTTATTTCATTTTAATTTTAATGTAACTTATTTAGTAGTATTAGTACTGAAAAGCCCCCTTGGTGAGTGCTAATAAAATCTGTTCTGTTCTATTACAATGTCGTTTCTCCAGGTAATGGACAGATGGACTTTGAAGAATTCGTTAAACTGATGGTGGCAAAGAATCAGTTCTCCTTCAACGAGGAAGAAGCGAAGGAAGCATTTCGTATCTTTGATCGTGACTGTCGTGGTTATGTCATGTCCGATGAGCTGCGACAAGTCTTTCAAACTCTGGAGGAAAAGATTCCTGAACATGAAATCAATGACATGCTGCAAGATCAGAAGCACCAGTTTAACAGGAAGATCACTTTCGATGGTAATTATCATTTTATTAAATGAAAATAAATTGTTCTGGTTGTAGTTAGTAGAAATTTGAAATTTGTACTTTGAATAATAGACCATTTTACAGTTGTCTGCTCAGTGACCTGGCCTTTGAATGGCAGCGAGGTTGGAGGTGACCTTGTGTTGATAAAGACCTCACTGATTTTGTTGCGTAAATCATGTTGTTCTTATGCTAACTAGTTGGCATTTACATGAGAAAAGTAGAGAGGTCTGTATCAAAGCAAGGTCACCGCCAGCCTCGCTTGCAGTCATAGGCCAGGTAACTAAGCACAAAATTGTAAAATGACCCATTGGGATTTGATGTATTGTAGAAGCCACAGCAATAAGTCATTTCCGAGTTGCTTTTACCTCTGTTTCAAAACGAGTCCTGGCACACAACCATTCATATGGAAATCAGTTTGATTTGCAAGACAATGATCGTGCTTGAACACTTCATTTCGATATGTAAGGAGCTGTGCTACGCTCTCGGAAAGCTGTTCGCTTCGAGGAACAGATAATGTCCAAGGACAAATATTCGAGCATGTTTTCGCGCCAAATAGAGGCTATTGTGTTTAATATCCTTCAAATGTTTTTCGCAACACGCGCGGTTTTGAAAATTGGGGAATATCCTCGGACATCCCCCAGTTTTAGCTGGGAAACTTCAGTCACGCGATGCGTTTAGACAAATCGCGTTTTAGCGAAAATATTTGATGGATTATAATGCTGGGTAAGCAAAAGGAAGGGGGTTGAATGATGTTGAAAATATGGGGAGAGGATGTTGTATCAATTTTCGAAGCCACTCACTAGCGAGATGACTTTGACACTGCATGAGTAGGCCGCAAACTGTCGGCGGGAGTTACTATTGTTGCTTCACGTTTGCGCCGACAAAATGATTCCTAATGCGCGTCACTTTCTTCCTTTGTTTTCAGATTTCGTTCAATTGACTAAGGATGGAGTTTGTCCCAAGGAGTCAAAACAGAAAGAACGCGAACCATCACGCGGCCCCAAATATGCTCGGAGAAGGCAAAAGTTTTATATTTACAGCTAAATCGAGTTATTATAATCAGTACTTTGTGTCCTGTTACACAATGAATTAAAGCGAGTCATATATTCGGGTATATTATTTTATCATGATACACCGCTCTCTTCCATGAGTCTAAATATA